CCCGGTGTTATTACAAGCGGTCCAAACTAATAGCTGTGGAAGGGGGATTTTATTTAAAGTCATGAATCTTATTTACACCCAGGGTCGGGGAGAAAAAAAAAATCATCTCGCCAACCCGTATAAATATTCCCCGGAGCCCCGACGCGTCCGGATCCCGTGGAATAAATCGCGCGTAACGAAGGGGTGCGCGATGCGGGTCGCTGCGGAGCTGCGCGAGGCCCTTCTGGGTTTACCAACCTCCTTCACGCTCGCTTCAATCAGGCTGCGATGAAGCATTCGTTGTGCTCAACTGCCCCGAAATTGATTGGTTCACTTGAAAGAGATTTAAATGTGGCTCGGTTTAACGTGTCGGCCGACGTTGCGCAGAGTTACGGCCGCGCACGAGGCTGAGCGCTTTGTAAATGCCTCCCCCCTCTGTGTGCGTGTGACTGCCTAACAATTGCCTGTCAAGTGGATGGGAGACGTCTTTTAAATGTTTACATGAATTTTGGTGGTTATTGTTGTGTTGTTGTGGCTCGCCTTGTGAATTGCCCCTGAAGGCCATTTTTATTTTGTGCAGCTCAATCACTTGCCAATGGACCGATCTCTTGACAACGCAAACACGAAGGACAACAACAACAACAACATCAAAACAAATCAGACATTTATAAAAGTCCCGCAAGCAGGGTGTTTTTGTTGCGCGGAGTAAATGTGTTGAGTGCGCGAGGATAATTCCTTATTATAGGGCCAGTCAATAGATTCGTGGAAAGTGGCAGGCCTTCGTTTATGCCGTGGCTTGAGACGCAGTGGCCAAACTCTCATTTAACCTGACACTAATGTCTCGTATTCATTCCGCGCCGTGCCAAATGGGCGCGTCTTCGCTGCAGCTCGGTCGATCGCCCGCGCGCGCTGTAGACTTTAGTGCACTGCCCGGCCAGCGCATCCCGAAGTGCTCTCCTTGTAAATAATGCACGGCCCGGCAATACGGCCAACGCGGCGATACGCGAGGGTTGCCGGAAAGAGCCCGGGCCGGTCCGGGCCGTGTTTGTTGTTTAATCACACACCGTTCGGTCGGAGGGAAAAGAAATCACCATTAGCGAAAGCCATTAACACGCCACCGTGCCGACCGGGGGACTTGATGGGCACTAATTGCAGATAAGTGTCGTATCGATTCGCGTGTTCTCAGTCGTCAGCGGGTATATTAAGCACAATCCCCTTGGTGTTTTAAATAAGTCCCCTTAATGCGCAGTGGCAGGCTTGCGGGAGCGGCGATGGCTGTGCGAGTAGGCGGCGGCGGGGAGGAGGAGGTGGGGAGATGGCCGTGGACGCCTGAGCTTTAGTGGTGCCGGGGTGCACGGTCAAAAAGCGGCGCTTGCACGCGCGGAGGAAGGAAGCCTCGACCGCCACCGATTGCGAAAAGAATGACCGCGGACGACGCTCGCACGTGCAGACGCGCGCGCAACGGATAATGACGCGTGTTTGGAAATCGATGAGTAGAAACGAATTCTATAACGCTTTCGTGCAAACGACGAGCAACTCATCATTCACCTCCGACTAGCACGGTTGGCTGTGTACGATGTGAAAGAGGTTCGGCATACATACGTTGGACCAGACTCGAGTTTGTCGCAGTGTAAAGTTTGCATGAAATCATTATCAGAAAAACATTCGATTGTACACCGTGTGAATAAATTAATAATGTACAGCCATTTTTTTCCCCCACTGATGTATGAAGGCAATTCTCTCACCACCCAACACCGAGTCGGGCATGGGAGTTGTGTGACCATACTTCACCAAGCTGCTCAGCGTGGGTTAGCGGTTTAGATATCACTCCCTAATGATGTCAGCCAGGGCCAGGTTTCAAACTCAGACTTACAGTGCTGTGCACCATCTACTGCACCGCATCTTCACGCATGCAATGGACGCATAGTACATGCGTGCGCGTTTTATTTTATCGTAGAGTCACGTCCCATTGTATTGTATGCATGTTGAACTTCTTTCGCACAGCACGTAGCAAACCGTGCTAATCGGAGGCGTTGCATACGTTCGCTCATTCGCACGCTCGTGGCTTGTAGTGACTAAACGTTATGAAATGCGATGGCTTCACACTGGTGCAAAAAAAAGGAGGGCGGATTGGAGTAGGCAGGGGTTCGTCATTTTGGTCTCCGATCGATAATCAAGCACTAGAACATCTCCCGCAGGTTAATGTGTTGACTGTCGGGTCAATTGAAAACAACCTTTTAAATGTTACTTGCATCGCCGTGATATTTTCTGGGCGAAGGGCGGTGGGGTACGTAATAGCGTAAGACCAGAGCACTTATTGATTGATACCAAAGAGAAATCAATCGCCATACAACTTTCTATTTATTGGGGTCGCCAGTTGGAATTACTCCGTGCAGTCCCCAAACTGCAAACGGGAGAGGCGCCCGCGTGCGCGAGGAGAGCCCCCAGCCCCTAGCCCCTCCGCCGGCCTCCGCCACGATGGTGCCGAGTGAAGTCCCGACAAAACCTGCGTCTGTCCTGCACGAGTTCTCCTGCGCTGTGCATGTCCAAAAGCTTTGTGCTGCCACGCTTGGCGTTCGCTACGCAGCTCGAGAACGTTGCACGTTTCAACCGGCGGTGTGCAACGTCTGTATATGCGCATTTGGCTGTGGTGAGATGTCCATGCGTACTGCTTTGGCTCTCCTGTTCGTGACCCCCGTTATGGATGAATTTGACATCCTTATAAAGGCCTACTGGATAAGTTGTAGCTTTTGTAAGTCTTTGTATGTGGTGTGCCATTTACATGTTCGCTTTGTGCGTGCCATTGAACACCCTGGATAAACTTGTAAATAAGAGGTTTCATTTCCAAGGAACTTTCCAGGTAAAATATTTTTTCAAAAAAATCGAGCTCCACATCCTTCTCTAGTATGTGTCAGACACCCAGCACTCCTCCTTCATCTGCCTCTCGTTCCTTCATCTCTGCCATGAATTGACCCGTCTGTGTCCAGTCTTGATACGCACCCAAACCATAAAGGGGATGGGCCGGTCATCGCAAAAGTTTTTCTTGACATTTTCTTCACCAATATTGTTTATTGCCCCACTTACCTTTCTATACGACGCATCTCGTATTTTCTGCAGCCTAGATCAGTGGCGGAGCCAATTTGGGGGAGGCGATGGGGCTGACCGGCCCATCCCCCCTATACGTAGAATGTTTGTATTAATGTAGGGCCCTATGTGAAAAGTTTTACATTCTTGGGAAGTTTCTAGATCCGCCTTTGTTCGAGACTATCCCGGCATGCCTCCCTTCCCGAGCCCCCGCTCATCCCATGCAACAGCCGAGACAGATTTGTGTCGTCCGTTCTGCCCGCTTCGTGCTCGTGGCGAACCTGCCAGGGCAGTGCAACGATCGCTGTCTTTGGAAGCCGACAACTGCGTTCACGAGTTTGTTGACTCGGGTGGTACATCGGCATGATGCGACGGAGTATGAAAGCGCTCACAATGCAATTATAATACGATTCGGAGTTACACTGCGATGTCTAAATGAGGGCCGCATCTCAAGACACTGCACATGAACATGAAGCGTGTTTGTTTCAAAGAAAGAAAGAAAGAGGAGGTCGATCATAGGCAGAGGACACATTGGAATGTTCTAAATCTGGATTTTAACTGGGAAGTGAATGAACTTATCTTAACCATATCTCATTAAAATAATGTAACGCTGAGAAACATTTTCATAAATGTATGTGTGCATATTGTGAGAAGCGAAGGGTGTTGCAAGTCTACGTGTTGAGTGCCATCGATTTGAAGTTGTTACTTATTTGGTTGGCTGCACATTCATTGTCAAATGCATACACGGAACACGGTATGACAAATTATACGCTAAACCTTCAGTTAGTCCTGTATTGATAAACATCATAATGACCTAATCCGTTTTTAAGTACGGTGCCAATATTGCCGAATGAAAAGATGAGCCTAATTTATTGTATCAATGTATTGTATTTGATCCTTATGTGTACTGTATTTATCACGATAATTATGATCTTGCATTTTAAAGAATGCTCTACTGTTAGTGATTTACTTGACATTTACACATTTGACTTTTAAGAAACTATCATCCCATGGTTCATTTGGACATTCACCTTCAAAGGACCTGCCTTGGTCAGGGATACCCAAAAAAATACAAAGACCACCTCCGTGTAGCCTGTTACAGACTGTTGGGGCAGGCGCTGTTAGCGAGCACCTATGAAGGCTATCGTGGCGCACAAAGGGAGTGGTGTGGCTAGAACCACGCCCGGTCACTTTTGGCTTACCAGTGCTGATGTTTACACACCACACCAGGCACTCATTTGAGGCTGAGTCGACCTAAGGGCGGTCCCAGACCGCATCAGATATTCATCGCTGAAAGTTGGTTGCGAGCGGGACCGGAATTCGGGTCGCCGACTTCGCATCGCAGCGCGCAAACCACTGCGCCACCGGTCCCCCCAGGGATACCCATCCCACACGCACACAGTCGTTAACGTTGTGCAGGGGGTTTTTTTTCGCTTTGTGTTTTTTTTTACACCCTGGAAAGAAGGCCACCGTCGCATGGTGTGCAGGCTGCTGAAGAAAGACAGAGCCGCCTCATTGAAGCCTGTAGTTCCATACACCGCAGGTGAGCGCATGCACGCCTCAGGGCGGGTGGGAACCGCACGTGTAAATTCGTCGCCGTGAGTCGCACACTCCTGCGTGTGCAAATCTACGTTTATGAGCATCCCTGTGCCAGAGTGCCGCCCGTATACAAAGGCCCCCCCCCCGACCCCACCCACCCGTATAGGCTGAACATAACTTTTGGGGGCAAGTGCTGTTAGCGAGCAGCGCCTATGAAGGCCGTCACGGCACACGAACGGGGTGGGTGGCCAGCACCACGCCCGGCCGCCTTTGTCTCCCAAGCAGCAATGTATACGCAACGCATCAGGTACTCATTTCAGACTGAGTCGATCTAGGGGAGGCCTAGGACCGATTCCGGTGTTGGCCGTTTTGGCCGTGATTGGGAATTAAACTCGGGTTCGTACGGCGGTGCTACACACATACACAACTACTGGGATCCATTGGCCAGCTGGTTGGGCGCCTTTGACCGACGCCTTTCTCGTCAGAGACTCTGAGCCAATGGACCTGGCTGTGGTCGGGAGACGTTGATCCTATTGCTGCAGTCATTTGGGTTCCCCCGTGACAGATGTGCGTGGTGCGCGCGCGCGCACGTGTGTGTGTGTGCATGCGCGCGCGCGTGTGTGTGTATATATATGTGTGTGCGCTTGCTTTGACCACACGCTGCCTTTTTGCAGCAGCGAGTGGTGGAGGCGGGTGACCGCTTGGGCTGGAGCGCGTGCAGGCCAATTAACCCGGGGGGCTCCGGGTGGCCACATGGAGTCTTCCTCGCTTGCGCTTGGCTCGCTGGCTCCAAATTCGGCTTCTCGTTTCATCCCAGGCTGATCATCGCCGGTGCCGCCGCTGCTCCCGCTGTCCTCCCAGCTATCGTCTCTCAGTCTGGTTCCGTCCCATCACACGAAAGGTATGGGTTATTTGCGTACGTACGTGTGCGGCATGATTTTTTTTGACGCTGTTTTTTTTTTCATTTGTACGAAAGCACTCGTTTGTTGTTCATCCCGTTTGCAGTAAGTTATGGAGTATGGACTGTAAGTTGAACTTCTTCGGCGCCGTACGTAGCCAACCGCGCTAATCGGAGGTGCGTGTGTTAGGGGTAAAAAAAAATGGTTTTAGGTTTTTTTCCTCCTCGTTAGTTTGCACATTCCCACCGTGCAGTGCCCTGCTACTGTTGCCACCACTGCCGGCGGTCTTGGGCTGTGGAAGAGCGACTGAGCTTATACAAACACATACACACACACAAACACATACATACATACACACACGCACATTCATAGTCGCCGACAAATTCACTTCCTGTGACTTAATTTAATCAGGCAAAGGTAAAGTGAAAATAAATCAATACAAAACATATTTTTAGTGGTTTTATTGATAAAGTCAAACTTTGGCCCTCGAGAAATAGAGAAACCCTATGAGAAAAGGGTGTAATTTTTTTTTACTATAAATCAAAGATGAAAAAAGTCTTTATAAATCTGCGTATCAAAATATCAAACAGCGCGACAACTTCGTACCTCTGTTCAAACGTGACATTTTCATTCAAGCCATCGTTTATGCAGAATGCTTTAAAGAAAGAAGTGAGTGAAATAAGTCTCGTTGTAAAATTCACTTGCACGCAGCACTTCCTGAAGCTAAAATGATGCAGCGTTTGAATGGCCCCGAGCACGGGGTGGAATTTGTCAAAGTGCAATATCGGGTAAAGCAAGTGAACTACTGTAGGTTGAAACCGTGTTTCACGAATGTACTACTCATTAGTCCGCATATGCAGGTCTAGTAAAAATTTGTACAAAATGTGCGATCTAAATTGAGCTCTAAATTAGCAAGGAATTACGGGAACACCTTATAGCAGTGACAGGTGCGTTATTAATGCGATTGTACATCTTGTGTTATTGTCTTTGTATATTTGTTCTCATATTTAAAAAAATGTCGCATTTTATTCACACGATGTGTTCATTAGGGCGCCACTCAACAGGCACATTAAACAAACAAGTGAAGTCTTAATTCGCTGGGATAACATCCTGTTCTCAATTCGGCACTTTTTGGTGTCAAAGTCAACGGCTGAGAATCCGTTGACATTCACAGGTAGCTCAGGATCCTCTCCTTCAGTGCCGGATTAAGCGAGTGCGGGGCCTGTAGCACATGTTATTAAGGGGACAAAAAATAAAATGAAAACACAAATATTCAAACACAAATGTTTAACTCGCATAGTAAAGTAATTGTATTGTTTTCCTTTGCTATACAGCCAGATAATAAGACAAATCGCTAACCTTAAACACCCAGTCGTTCATAAAAGTTGAAGGCGGTATAGTAATAGAGCAAGCGCAGAATCACTGAACCGGAATTGATAGCTTGAAAGCGTTTAGCGCGGGGGCCCTTGAAAGTGCGGGGCCCGTAGCTACATGTGGAGCTATCTTTTGCTTGCTAGGATAATCCGGCACTGCTCTCCTCTCCTCTTCTGCATCTATGCCTCTACCGTGAGACTGCGTTTATTGACTGCCATGCATCCGTTGACTGCGCTGATCGACCAGTAAACATCGAGGCATTGTCTTAAAACAAAAACTCGAAGTACTTCAGTTTAACCGGCAAAAGAACAAAACCAGGACGCGTGACCTTGAAAATATTCAACTTGGGTTTGTGAGCGGCACCCTACATAGCCTACATGTTATGTTTAAGTATGAAATTATATCAAATAGTAGTCGTCAGTAATGTTCTGCGTTTAAAACATGGAATTATATTTTGTTAGTTTAAAATGTAGTCGGTATTACTGATGTAGAACTGAGCTGCAACTGAATTCGTATCTGCTTACACACATTGATTTATAGTCATTTTATCTGCAGGTTATTTTTTTATTATGAAAGTTGCATTGTTATTCTTATATAACATGTACATGTCCTAAAACCGTGCTTTTGCAATGTTTATTGTAAGTGCCAGGCTAAAGCACGAGTGTGTATATATGTACTTTGTGTATATATACATACACACACTCAAGTTAAACTACCATGCGTTAACAGTAAATAAGTGTAATTTAAGCTGGTTTTAAGAAAGATGTGATCATAAATGGGTTGTCTTTCCTCGTGTTTTTTATATTATTGTAAATAATATTTTGATAAATAAAATAAACAATGTTTGAAGAATTTTTCATTTTCAAAATGTGAGCCCAGATCGGATATTCCACCTGTTGGTACCCCCTGAGGTGGCATCACGTTGGTGATTCCAACTTCTCTCTGCGGCCATCAACAATGAATCACGTTATGACCACTTGAAATGAGTGTGGTTTTCAAGTAATCCACTCTCATTGGCCATGAAAATGAATCTATGCGACTGAAGTTACCCGAGGTGGTGCCCATTTCTGCTCTGGCCCAAGGACTGATAGGCTCGTTAATATATTTTTTGTCATTAATTTCACCAAAAAAAGTAAGGCATTGTGTCGCATTTATAAAATATATTTACACCTTGTAAACAAATGAAGATGATGAGTGAGGTTACTGTCATGCGTGTATGTCATAAGGAAGACAAGCAAAACATTTATGTAGCAGAATTTAGTTGCATACACAAGTTTTGAACAGTGAAGAGACTCAATCTGTAATGATGTAATGCTTTAAACATTAATCTAAGCTTCTCCTTTAATCACACGCAACACTTTTAATCTTTCGAAAACCCATCACAGCAAACGGTAAACTATCAGTATTCAAACTTCCCTCGTGCATTCCAGGATTCTTGTCCTCTGCGCTACCCAGAAGATCGACATATGAACTCGGTCATGTGGCTCTCATTGTGCGTTCATTTGGCCAAAATGATATTACGACGAAACGTCTCCCCTCGGTGCATTCCAGGATTCTTTTTTTCCCGCGAACAATGGACATCCCAGCTCCCCCGAAGCCCGGTGCCCAAAGCAGCCCGGGCCCCGCACCGCCGGCGCCCCCTCCGCACGGCGCGACCCCGGACAACGTCGGCGGTGGCGGCGGCAGCGGCTCAAGCGTCGGCGTCATCGAGGCGGTCAGCCCGACCCCGAAGCCCGGCCACGTGGGCGAGGTGCTGCTGTACGGCGCGCCCATCGTGTCCCTCGTCATCGACGGCCAGGAGCGCCTCTGCCTCGCCCAGATCTCCAACACGCTGCTCAAGAGCTACAGCTACAACGAGATTCACAACCGGCGTGTGGCGCTGGGCATCACGTGCGTGCAGTGCACGCCCGTGCAGCTCGAGCTGCTGCGGCGGGCGGGCGCAATGCCCGTGTCTTCGCGCCGCTGCGGCATGATCACGCGGCGCGAGGCCGAGCGCCTCTGCAAGTCCTTCCTGGGCGACCACGAGCCGCCGCGGCTGCCCGAGAACTTCGCGTTCGACGTGACGCACGAGTGCGCCTGGGGCTGCCGCGGCAGCTTCGTGCCGGCGCGCTACAACAGCTCGCGCGCCAAGTGCATCAAGTGCTCGCTCTGCGGCCTCTTCTTCTCGCCCAACAAGTTCATCTTCCACTCGCACCGCGCGCCCGACGCCAAGTACGTGCAGCCCGACGCCGCCAACTTCAACTCGTGGCGCCGCCACCTGCGGCTCACCGACAAGGCTCCCTCGGAGGACATGGTGTGCGCTTGGGAGGACGTCAAGGCCATGTTCAATGGCGGCAGCAGGAAGAGGGGTCTCCCTCCGATGCAGGGCAATGTCAAGTCGCAGCTCGACGTGAGCCACCAGCCTGATGGCAGCGCACTACTGCAGCAGCAGCAGCAGCAGCAGATACGGTCCATCGCCTCGACCTTCAAGCGCGCCCGATTCTCCGACGGCGACGCGCTTCCCTTCCCGCGGGAGCACCCGGCCGAGTTCGTGGCCGCTTCCACGGCAGCGTCGTTGGGCAAGGCCCGCGGGCAACTGCAGCTCCCGTCCGCGTCGCTCCCCGGCTTTCCCAACTTCCACCACAGCGTGTCCCCGCCCAGGCTTCTCACCGCCAAGAAGGACGATGGCCTTGCGCCGTACGGGGTCAACCCGAGCAAGCTGGGGTGTTCCCTGTGGCCGGCACCCAAGGAGGCTGTCTACTCGCCCTTCTACATGCTCTGGCACCTGCAGAGCGCGCACGGCGGAGTGACCCTCCCCAAGTTCCCCTCTCCGCAGCCGCAGACGCGTAAGTTTGCCGCCCACTGGATCCGTGGCACGACGGCCGCGCCGGAAGCCGCGACGCTGTGCCACGACAGTGACCACGAGACTCCGCCGACGCCTGGCAGCAGCGTGAGCAGCGAGTGCTGCTCGAGCGTGCATTCCAGGAAGGAGGAGGACGACGAGATGAGGCCTCTGGGCACCGCGAGCGGGGGAGGCAATAACCTGCAGCAGCATCATCATCACCATCATCACCATCATCAGGAGGGTGCCGCTTTTCGGGGCCGCCGGCCACCGCCGTACATCTCGGCCTTTCGTCCCGTGGTGGCGGCCGACGCATCGGAGATGAGCATCGCGAAGCTTCACGGCGCCGGGCTGCAGAGCGCGGCGGACGCACCCAGGGGTCGGCCGTGCGCCTCTCCGCCGTGCTCCCCGCTCCCCGAGGGCGCTCGCCGACTGCGTGCGGAGGGCGCGGCGAGGGACGCGGAGCGGAAGCTGTGCGTGGACGGAGCCGGTGGCTCCTCCGAGGCCAGGTTTACCGGCCTCATGGAGGAGCAGCAGCAGCGATGGGCCTCCAAGGAGGACAAGGGCGATGGTGTTGCTGCCGGCACCGCAAACGCCAACGAGAGAAGCGAGAGATCCAGAAATGGACACCTGTTGCTCTCTGATGAGGACGCTGTAGGGCAAATGAAGGTACGGCATCGCATTATAAGGGTGTGTCACATAAAATATATCGGTGTCTTGTGCGTTTTATAATATGATTATTATAATTATAATTGTTTACCCAGAGAAACCTCACTGAGTTTCACGACTCTTTTTCAGGCGGACACTACAAGGTTTTGCAGTAGGGGGCGATGATTGCCGTGCATTATTCCGATTGAGTTATGTTTGATAGCTAGTTTGAACTACCTAGACTAATCTCATCTCTGGATATTAATAAGGTTACGTGTTTTTTACAGTGTTGTCTTGTAACATTTTACATCAACTCAAGCATACACACTGAGTATATTATCTCGATGTCAATCTTACAGGACTGTCAAGAGCGTTCAGCTGCTAATTCTTCATTGGAGACGGAGACTCCAAACCCCAATTACTGCAACTTCATTGGTGAGTGAAGGCACGGTTGAAACACGAGTATGGACGAGCTTAAGGAATGACAGCGCCGGCTTGGTGATTGAAATGCCGTTTCAAGAACACTATCGATTAGCTCTGCTGGGATAATCCACGTCACATTGTTTACCCTTCCAATAATCCTCGAATCGGTTTATTTTTCCGCAGTCACGGGCAGAGTTGGAGACAATGAACTCGCACTGGAAGGCTTGGGATCACCTAGGGATCTGAAACCTCTGGACACTCCGCTGTATTTTCAAAACGGTAAAGATCGTCGCACAGTTTGTTTGCGTTCGATGTGCCCGGCCGTTGGTCTGTGTGTGCGTGTGTGTGTGCATGCATTTTTTAAACGCCTGCTGCACACGTCATTGGTTAATGGTTTTTAAGTACAAAAATTAACGTGTTTGCAATCTCCTAATTATCTGGAATTGTCTCCCGAAATGTTCGTGAAGACAATAGTTTTGCCGAAGAATAATTCTTGCTGTTGTTGTGTCACTCATCTAGAGTCCAAAAATGTCAAATTTCAGATAACTCAAAAGCAAACTCCTTGCCACAGAATTCGTAATGTCCATATTTGCCATAATCTACAGATGTTTATGACACATGTGCATGGCATTTTATTACTATTTAATATTATTATTCCTATCGTATGAATTACTTCCTGTGAGAGGCATTATCCACCCCAGTCTCTCACATTGCAGTGCATTTCTTCAGGTTAAAGAATGGCCCACAGAAGGGAATATCACAGAGCAACCTCAGAGATCCTTCAAGTAATCTGGTCAACAGAATAGGGTAGTACCTCCCCCACTACTCTATCATATGAGTTCAAGGTTTGCAGCATGACAGTCAAACTGAACTGAAATTTTGCCAAATTAAATACAGAACCAAATGTAATGTGACAGTTTTTTTGTGAAATTATTAGTGACTCGGCTGAGCACTCACTCCACTCAAGAATTTTGTTAAATCAGAGGCAGCTGCCTGGATTTGAACCCAGCCTCTCTGCAGTGCCGACTCTGCACCCTGACCTCTGAGCCACCCGGCCACCACTGCGTGAATGGTATTTAAGTCACAGGCAGTCACAGTGTCATGAAGTCAGTAACGGTGTTTAATAACACACCGTGTTCGATCCGGCTCTCATGTAAGCAGTCTGTCATAGTCTCAACGTCTATGTGATAAACTCAAGCCTTCCATATTATGACAGCAGGGATGTCGCTAAAATCAAACTGGATAAGAGCCCCTATAGGACATAGTAATAGCCATACTATCGTATAAACACATGGTACTATATCATGAAAACTCTGGGATTATTTTTGACCACTTCAAATACAGCATAGCAGGCCTAGATAACCCCTGTATACACAGAGTAAATGTATAGACAGAAAAAGAAACACATACATTAGATAGCATATGCCAAGTAGGCAGTCAAAGGAAAGAGAACACGCCTGACGGAATGTCCACCGTGGAGCTGGGGCAAGGAAATTATCTCGTGCGGAAGTGCTTGAGAGATTGCTGCATCGCAGTATCGTGAGAGACGATGACGGTTTTAGGGAGGACTTCATCCAGCAGTGCACCGACCATGGCCGAAGATTCTGGATGTAATTTCCAGCGAAACATCGTACTCAAATTGTAAATGTTATGGATCCACTCTTCAACACACCGGTGGGCTAAAGTAGTGAACTATTTGTCTTTTGTCAACGTGACTATTTTTTACTGGTAGGAACGAAGTTGTAAACTGAGTGTACCAGCCTGCAATAGATTAATGTGTCCGTCTGTCCGTCCGTCCCCTTTCAATACTTTACGAAGTGAAATCTCGTGCTGTTGGGTGTAATAAAATTGCGCAAAATTCCAATGTTCCTACCAGCCCACCCTGCAGGGACCTGTTACTGATTGGCTGTGTCGGGTGGTGGAGGGTTGTGACACATTTAAAAATAACGTGATCTAACCCAAAAACCTTTATTAGGATCTGCCGTTCCGTATAGCGACGGCCTCCGCGTGTTTCTCTCCTTTGTGGCGTGCACAGAAAACCTGCACACGTTTCTGCTGCACCAGATGGCGATGCGGCGGAAGCTTGAGCACGAACTCGTGTTCGTGAAAGGTGCACGCACGCGACACGCACGTGGTCACGACGCTGTGACGATCGGCGCTGGCAGAACTCGCAGAGTGATTTGTAGTCCACGTTGCCCTTTTTAATCCGTTAAATGTTTTCGTGAAATTATGTTGCGTAAGAGGTTTCTCTCTCGTTCCTAATCCTTGCCATAATCCGAGCGCTCAAACTAACTACGGTACCAAGCTAACCGCTAACAAGAAATGGCAGCTTTCCCACCGGTCACAGCTATTGCATATACAAGTTTACAATTAATTAAACCGTTTAAGTTAATTCTTTATGGTTACTGCTATGATTTTCGGCTCACCATCGAACACAGATGGTCACTGCATCGCGCACTTTCAGATCCGCTGCTGCGGCTATCTGTAACGCTCTTCCTTCCGATATTAGGAAGCCACTGGAGCTATGCACTTTTAAATATCGATTGAAAATTTACAACTGCTTTTTGTCATTAGTTTGTTGTCCTTCCCCCGCACTTCCGATTAGCACAGTTGGCTATGTACGGCCCGAAATAAGTTCAACATACACACTGCGCCACTGGTTGCAGAACCACTTCGAGTACAATCGCTTCGCATACGATTGATGCGCACCTGGCGTCCCCCTTCCTCCTGCCGCTGTGCCGACCTAGACGGTTTTGAAGAGAAGCGCACGACCCCGTACAAAGAGGAGCTGGCAGACCACGAGGCGCTGCAGGCTGTGAAAGGTATCGTGGCCTACAATGTGGCACGTGTATCGCCTTATTATGTATCTCAAAAAGAATGCGTTTACCTGAATTTACGTGGAGAGGTACGGAATTTGGTTCGCACAACCACAGTAATGTTTTTAAAGTGCACTTCACAGTTGTTTGTGTCGGTGCTGGCGTTGCCAGGGAAGCACTTTGGTAATTTTGCATACGACTGAAAATTGATCATGGGTACCGAGGATTCTGATCTCTTCATTATTCCAAACACCAGACTTTGTTCTTATGGGAGACGGAGCTTTTTGCAGCCAAAAAGCTCCGTCTCCAATAAGATTGTGGAATTACCTTCCTCGGTCTGTTAAGGGATTTGAGTCTTACACTTTTGAAGACGTGTCTTAAAACTCAACTGTGTTTACAACAGGCTTTCTCCGTAACTCAAGCTTTATGTAAAACGCTTTGAGGCCTTGTGCGTATTGCAATAGATATAACCGAGTTATTTTACTATTATAGAAATTGCTCAATTGTGGTGATTTCAAAATTGACATTAGAAATAATGATAATACTTTTAAGCACTGTCAGGAGAAAGATAGAATCATATAGATATATTCTGTCACATCATTAGTGTTGTAACGTACACCTCATATGCTTTGTTTATGTGGTCAAAACTGGCTTTTGTGTTATCAATCCTGTTTCATTATAATTTGTTCTCTTTGAACTTACAAAGGGACCAATCATATAGGAATTGTTACGTTTTCTTCTCTTTCAGATGTTCCAAGCTCACTACATCCCTACCCCTACAAGATGCTATTCAAGCACTTCTAGTAAATACAGTATTTATGAACTCCTGCTATTTATATGTTTATTGTCTCAGAAATTCCCTGTACATTTGTGTACAAAACATTTAGTTTATTCGCTACGTTTTGACTTTCCCCGTGTATATAGCGGGCGATGGAGTTGTTCTGCCGTTCCCCGTGTGTCGCTAGTCGACTCGGATATCGTATTGCTTTTAGAATGGCTTATTTTCACGTTGTTCGTGATCCGCTGCCCACGAAGGCTACCACTGTTTGCAAGTGCTTGCGGGGAGCTGATTTAAAACATATGCAGTGCATTTTGCGCGACAAAAACAAAACGCTTCTCCCAAAAATGCAACCTTAACGGTCGGTCGCACTTGCATTAAGGATCCGTATGCACAGGTGCGATCTTTGGAAAATGTTCAATTCCAACGCTGAATGTGAACACCCTCTCTTTAGATAGGAAATACAGTGGGCCCCTATAGGCCTTCTACAGCTCATCATGCGGAGGCTCGCCGCGAGGGCTCACGGGGATATTCACGAGGTCACGCATGGGAACGTGATTGCTTCAGACCGCCGTGGGCCCGTGCCAATGTCCAGCCCCACGTGGGTGATGGTCACCGAAGGCTGTGAGTGGATGCCTCTGCGCGCCTCCAGATCCACAGCCTTAGAGCAACGCATTCATTCTAACCCCGTAAGAGGCTAGCCTTGCCATATGCTGCCGTGGTGTGATGATCAGCACACAGAGATCTCCAGTTTGTTTCCTGGCACGGCAATTGACAAAATCGGCAAGTTTATTCAATACCGTTGCATCTGTCCACTCAGCGGTATTACAGTTAGTCGATCGGTAGGTCACATGTGGTGGGGTAAAGAATGGGTACTCCCACCTCTTTGAAGACATCGAGTCAGTGTGGAAGAGGAGGCTAGATATCCTTTAGAGGGGCTCTCTAGAGCTCCCTCTAGTGGACACCCTTCCATCTTAGCCCATATGGGGACCTAACCAGGATTTATTTTCGTACGATGAGCAGAGCACGCATATAGAACCCAATTTACATGTTAGGAAATGTTCATGTTCATTTTCATAGATGTGCGCATGTCTCCCTTACTAACGATAGGGCCAATCTCCACCACAGCAATATCGACCTGAGATGGATGATGGGCTGAATTGATCCCCAATCAGGATTTGAGGTCGAAGCCTTTCTATTACGGGGCCCTAGCTCTACCGCTGAGCAACCTGGACAGTTTTGGCTGAAGGAGTAACGGGAGATAGGGCTCGGAATCTCACTACCTGTTTGACACATAGGCTTTCGCGACCAATATTATACATAAGAGGTTTTCGTGGGTTCGATCGCGTAAATAGAAATGTTTAAACCCGCCACCATCCGACACAGCCAAATATTAACGTTCGTCACGTAAACAGTGACAGACCTTACCACCTTACAGGTGCCTTTGCACCTGAGGGGCTCACAAGTGATGACATCACATCTATCCCTCTGTTTAAGAACGAAACAGGAGCATTTCTCCACAAATCTGGCTGTCGCCTGATGATGCGAGTTGTAATTACTGGCGAAACGTCGTACTCAAATTGTAAATGTTGTGGATTTACTCTCCAACACACCGGTGTGCTGTACTCGTAACGAATTAACACGTTCTGTTTACGTGACACACCTTACTAATTGGCTGTCGGGTGGTGGCGGGTTTAACGACATTTTTATTTACGAGATCTAATCCCCCCAAAAAAACCTCTTATGAATTCTCACTACCTGTTGGCTATTCACGTGGTGCAAGCCCTTTGCTTGGGCTCGCTCTCTATAATGCTGCCTAAATAGAGATTGGACTGCTTTCGAGGCATTAATATGTCTGCCATACTTGTGATTCTGTGCTATGAACCCAGCGACGTGACTGCCTTCTGGCCATGGCTAACCTCAGCAGTGAGAGAGAATGTCTGAACCGGCTCTGGACATAGATCCTCCGTTGTCACCAACACGCCCTGATCAGCATAGCGAAGTATGCTAAACAACCCCCGTGACTGGCACGGTGTGAGGGAGGCCATCATCTGATCGATTAAGGCTTATACATGTATGAATGTGCAGTGAGATGTTGAGCATATTGTGATGAGATGCGTACCGACTGGGTTTGCTCTATGATCCAAAAACTGTGACAGTTAACAGGGCCACGTTGTATATAACGAGGCTTCATGATAGTATTCTATCAAAGTATTTAGCCTAGAAAACCCCATACAGTGCAACATCCCAATGATCAAGAGTATCCAGGTTGTAAAACAAAGGAAGGATTCAGAAATACTCTACAATTATGACAACTTTCGGAATCATGCTTCATAAAAATCGCTGCATACGAGTTCGCGTTGAATGTGAAATTTGGTCTTTGGAGGTAAACTGAAATACTGGACTGTGAACAAAAAAAATGCACACCATGTATATTGTAACGGTAGTATATACTGTATACTGTAATGGTACTGGGACACTCAAATCTGGCCATCTACTTCTAAGTACATGACCAGACTTGAATCTAGATTGAAAGCGAATTTCTTTAGAACTGCTTTTCGTGTTTAGTTTGTTGTCCTTCCCCGCACCTACGATTAGCGCGGTTGGCTACGCACGGTGCGAAAGAAGTTCAACATACTTTATGTAGCACAGCATCGTCGCAATAAAGGAATATCAACATTGAGAGAGCAGTAATATGCACGGGTATATGAAGAAGACATGGAGAAACACCGCTGTGTACACGCACACGTGTTAATCGGCAACACTTATTGTGAACACGTATATGCATGTATTTCGTTGTATACAATAAAGGGATGTTCACGAATTGGAAAATGTCTTAATGTGTATTTCCTTCCTTTAACGCCAGGCACTACCTTACAAATCAATACATTGTTTGGTGATACTGCGATGGCAGTGGTGAAGCATGGTCATACTTCCTGCATGACCAACAAAGGCGATCTTCCAGCAGGGGATTGACAAGAGGGTTGTACTGTACCTGTACGTTGCTTTTTTTCAAGACAACGTCCAACTGATTAAGGGAACAGATTTAACTGTTATTGCAATAGACACTCACACTGAACAAATCTGCGCTTTATCACTCGTCTGCGTGTTCTCCTATGTGGAGACAAATGTATATTGTTTACAAGGTGGTGTGAATTATATTGCGGTAAAAAACACACCTAAGGTTCATCCACAGAACATAACTTGCGATAAGACACTTGTTGCTATACTACATCCAAAGGTGAATATGCCATATACAATGTGAGGCCAATTATTAACTGATTTTGACAAACAAAATGTATGCATGGTGTTCTACTTTTGCACCTGGTTCAACTTTGCTTATAGCTCCGACCGATGACTAAATCACGCGTAATGCTCCCGGTCTCACCAGACAGCAGAATCTAAGCATGCTCGAGCCTGGACAAGTACTTGGATAAACGACCCACCATGCGTAAAAAAATGTGTCACAGGCCTCGGGGCTACGTTGTGGGCAGCAGTGGTCTTGTGCAGCAGAAATCCATTGTTGTTCAGTGCTTCTATGCTCCCCACGTCTTTCGTTGTCCGCCTTCACAAACCCGCCTTGATCGTTCTGGTGATGTGCGGTTAAATTACCCCCCCACCTCCACTACTACTCGTACGGTGTGGGGAGGCCCTCATCCAGCAGTGGAATGACAAAGAGCTGTACGTGTATATTCATGAAGTACAATGAAGCTCGCAGTGGCCCATACACCACAGACAAGGTGTGTGGTGTAAGCTTAGGCATGCTAATAGCGTCTTCGAAAGGGTTTCCGTCTCGCCTGAGTGTATTGTGAATTGTGTCTCTTGTGATAAGCATTGCATTGCCTTGCAGGAAAGTGGCGAAGGGCGGCTGATAGAACTGGTGCTCTGGGGGTAATTATAACTTCTCAATGACACGTATCAATGTACTGTGACCTTGAATGGGAAAAGACGACTATTAACCGTCTCAATGATACGATTAACACTTTTAAAAAAGTGTGCTGTTTCTGTTAGCGAGCACCTATTGAAGGCCATCACGGCCAGTGCCGGATTAAGCTCGTGCTGGGCCTGTCGCATATGTTAAAAAGGGTTCCTAAATAAATAAAACACTTAAATATTAAAACACAAATGTTTTATTTGAATAGTAAAGTAATTCTATTTTTTATTTGCTATACAGCCAGATAATACGACAAATCGCTAACCTACAACACCCAGTCGTCGTTCATGAAAGTTGAAGGTAGTATAGCACTATAGCAATAGAGCAAGTACAGAATCACTGAACTCTTTCGGCGCAATGTATCCGTACGATAAATGAGCATTCCGCATGACGCTACCAACAGCCCAAACGCAAATACACACAGATCATGATCATACTGTTGGCGAGCACCTACGAAGGCTGGCACGGCACACAAGGGGGGTGGGTGGCCAACACCACGCCCGGCCGCCTTTGTATCCCCAAACACCGCACCAGGTACTTATTTGAGGCTGAGTCGACCTAGGGGAGGCCCAGATAATCGTCACTGGTGTTGGCCGTGAGCGGGAATCGGGATGTTAACTCTCTCGCCTGGTATGCAGGAGGTCGTGAGTTCGATTATCGACCCTGACGCCTGCTGTATATTTGGAGTTTGCAATGTGTCTCTCTCATCAGGTGATCCCGTGGATTCTTCTCCTCCACGTTTAGAAACGTGCGTTTAAGAGCGTTTCGCTGCTTTAAATCCCCACGTAATAAGCCACTTCGTTGAGCTATTACTTGTGGTCATGTCGCTTCCGAAAAAAGAGCTATATAGCTCAATGGGCATTGCCCAGTAAATACATATAGTTTATAGTTTAGTTTTTATAGTTGTAATTCGGGTCGCCGGGTTCGTAACGCTTCCTTTCAGACGCTGTCGCGACGAGTGCTGTTAGCGAGCACCTGTGAAGGCCGGCACGGCACACGAGTGGGTGGGTGGCCAACACCACGCCCGGCCGCCTTTGTCTCCCCAGTGGCGATGTTTACTACACACCGCACCAGGTTCTCAGTTGAGGCTGAGTCGACCTAGGGGAGGCCCAGGACACGGTTCAGACAATCGTCACTTGGTGTTGGCCGTGAGCGGGAATCGAACCAGGGTGGCCAGGTTCGTAGCGCTAACCGCTACAACCACCGCAAAAACGCAACAACAACAACAATCGCCATTCGCCACTAAGTGGCGGTGACATCACCACGACCCTTGTGCCAGGCTAGGTGCACCTTGAGGCCACGTGAAGTGTCCTCTGGCAGGAGGTCACGGGGCAGATCCTGCAGGTGCCACGGGTCGACTGACTGAGAGATGAGTGGCTGATGCACCACCTGTGCCCCCTACCGCAAGACGCTACACACCCACACACGCGCACGGCAATCTCATCACAGGGCTACCCCATTCATTCATCCATGCACCAGGGTACACGCCACACAGACTCACGGGCGGGGCATACAGAGAGTGTGTGTACCACCTTGTGTAATGCGCTCCGCATGCTGAAGAGCGAGGCGTTCGAGTCGATTGTTATTACATTACTGCGATGGATTATCTACAAACAGGTAACACGATCGCGATGTATTACGATGGTGGCGGTGCAGCGGTGCGCACAATGCTTGTCTGTCAACTCCACCACCTGAGTTCGATTCCCGGCCTTGGATATATTCATTGTGTGAATATATTCATTGTGTGAATATATCACACACAAATGCAGGACTCGTAAGGGGCCTTGGATATATTAATTCGCTATGTGGCGAATGAATATATTAATTCGCTATGTGGCGAATGAATATATCCAAGGCGCCGATCAATGCGGTGGTTGCAAACGAATTTCTTTGCAGTTATTTAGAACTGCATCTTGTTGTGTTTAGCGTGTTAGTCCTTCTCCTGCACCTGCGACTAGCACGGTTGGCTACGCACGGTGCCAAAGAAGTTCAACATACATTACATACAAACAACCCGCACAATCGACAAGATGTTCTTCATTCAGCAGTGCACTGATAAATGGCTGAAGTAATCGTTATAGATGATAATTCAATATACTGTAAAATGTTTTGTAAACATGTTTTAACAACTGATTAGACGACTGTATTGTAGTTTGAGTAGGTGTATGTCACTGTACTGTAATGTTAAGCAGCTATTGGGTGCTAGATGAGTGTTTCTGTACTTTCCAAATACGACTTTAAACATTAATGCATGTACACTATAACAGTTCATATTATTAGGGATATAGCAACGGCACGCACTCTATTATAATCGATTCTCTATTTGTACAATGTGTATGCAGTCATGGGTTCACGTGAACACCGCCGCTACATTCGCCCCATGTGTGCATGTACAGACATTTGTCCACTGCTGGATGAGGATCTCCCCCACATCGTGCGCTGCTCAGTCAGGGTTGGCAGCATAGAGAGCGACTGAGTCGCTGACACACACACACGGCATTGTGGCTATGATGAGCATACGTGGCAATTGTTGGTGTGATGCTTGTACAAATACCAGCCCACTTTTCTGTTTCAGACAAAAATTCCACCAGCCAATCAGTGGGAGAAATTCAAGAATATTTAAGGAACAATG